CTAAATAAGCAAAAATAAATTTACAAGCAGAACAAATTGTCATTTAGAATGTTATTCCTTTTTTGTTTAATTAACGTTTAGGGACAGGGCACCACTGTGTTTAAAAACCGTAAGTGAAGACCAAAAGTTAACTAGACTAATTTGCAAATACATTTTGTATTTAAAAATCTACTTTTCAGGCAAATTAAAGATGAAAGTCTACCTTGGGTTGTCTTATTGTTAAAAACTTAATTTCAAACAAATAGAAAAATAAATAGTAAGACGACTTAAGTTCAATCTTTACTCAGGGTATAGAAATATGACATATTTTCCGAAATCAGTCGATTTGAAATTTATGTAAAATATGGCTGCTAAATTAACTCATTTTTCCTTATTTAGTTCATCAGAATAAAGTAAAAAAGATAGCGTTCTAAATCAATGCTAGTTTTAATGAATTTCATTCCAAATAAAATATTTAAACTAAATTACAATGTTTATTAAGGGAGAAGATAATACTATAGTTCGGGACAAACTGAGAATGTAGTATGGCCAGGCATATGCAATGTATTTCTAATGGAGTGTGCTTTCAGGGGAATTACAAATGAGATTATGCTTTATGCTTTTTGACATGGACATGAAATTGAAACAGGACGACGGGAAATGAGCTGCGCCCCTAAAAAAGAAGAACGGCAAACAACCGCCAGCAATGGTCATTAAAGATAGGAATGTGTCATATGAGGAACTGTCGAGAAAGTTAAAACAGAAGGTGACAGGAGACAAAGTGCCTCATGGGGTTAAAACAATAAAAAAAACAAAAGAAGGAGACCTCTTAGTAGAAATGGAGAACGAAAACGCAATTGAAGCACTAAATGAAGAGGTAATGAAACAAATCGGTGGAGCACAGGTGAAGCTACTGAAAGGAAACATAGCCGCAGTCCACATCTATGACATGGACACAGTGACCACGAAGGAGGAACTGGTACAAGCGGTGGAGATTCAGACGGTTTCTGACACAGTGGTGGTAAGATCCATGCGGCCGATGACAGGAAGTAGGCAGGGGGCTACATTAGAAATAGCAGAAGATCCAGCCGAAAAAATTGTCAAAGCACAAAAAATTAGAGTGGGATAGACGTCGGTAGGGTAAAGAAAAGAGTAGATGTTAATAGATGCTTTAAATGTGGCAGCATATGTCACATTGCAAGGGACTGCAAGGAACCTCCCACGGGAGAAAAATACAGGAAGTGTGGAGAAGACGGGCATAAGGCGGCGGAATGTAAATCCGAGAACGAGTACTGCTGAACTTGTAAGGCGGAAGGGAAATTAAACGCAAATTTCAAATGCTCAGTCTTTAAGAAAGCGGTAAACCAAGGATAACGAGCTGTGATATATCTGTGATCCCTATTTATTTTATTCTATTTTATCTATTTTACTTGTGTTATCTACTTTTCTTATTTAATTTATATTATACTATTTATTTATTTATTTATTTATTTAACCCCGGCTAAAACCAGAAGGGAAAAGGTATATATCGGGGTAAAAATCCACAAGCAAACAGAGGGATACGTATACATCCAAATCGAAAAATGTTACATGTACAGCTGTTACATCTTTCCAAACTTAAAACCAGCAGTATGTAAGTCCAAATTAGACAAAATTATGGAACTAGTGAGTAGAAATGGGGAAGAAGCTATTGTGGTAGGCAATTTTAACGGGAAATCACCTATGTGGGGCTCACCCATAGATAACTCACGTGGAAAAGAGGTGGTAGAATGGATAAATTCGCTAAACCGTACAGTATGTTATGTTATGTTGATAATGGGGTGTTAATACACTGCGACCTAAAAGATCTATTGTGCCCCCTTCTGTCGCCACTGCACTAAGGAAATGTCTCAATGCCTATAGCGACCCTTCCAATCCTATTTTCTCAAGGAAGTGTAGGATTTGAAGTGGCTTCAAGTTAGGTAAGTCTCCCTCTTCTATTTGATATCCTCCTAGATATAGTGCCCTTGGATTCTGGAGTGCTACACATTCAATTAGGATGTGAATGGAGGTTTCGTCCTCCTCCTCACAGAATCTGCACTCACTATCCTCTACTACTCTCAGTTTACTTAGGTGTCCTTTTAGTCGGCAGTGCCCGGTAAGGATCCCTGTTACAATACGTAGCCTGTTCTTGCTCAGGCAAATGCAGGCTTCCGATCTTTTTTGGTTATATTCACCCAGAAGTATCTTGGCCTGTCTCAGCCCCAAGAGATTGTTCCAATTATCGGTTCTTCTACTACCCAATTCTTTTTTAATCTCTTCTAATATTATGTTACTGCTGATACCGCAGAACGGCTCAGGTCCTACAAAGGGTGAAACCGTACAGTAGTAAACCCCCCAACTTTCTTCAAAGGAAATAGCGTCTCCTTCATAGATATTTCACTGGCCACGGCGGGTATCGTGCCCAACATCTACCGATGGAGAGTGTCGGACGAGGAATACTCAAGCTTGCATATGCACATATTTTTTGAGCTGGAGACGAGGAAAAGGCAGAAAAAACCTGCATACATCACGAGATTTACCAACTATCAGGAGCTGGAGAGGATAGTAAACATCGACCTTATGACGAAACGTAGCCAAACCTTAAAGGAGATCACAGAAACACTTGGAAGAGCACAGAGAAGATGCACAACAGTAACAGGTGGGACAAATAGGATGCCATACTGGTGGAATTGGAAAATCAAAGAGAAAAGGCGGGACTGTAACAGAAAGAGGAGGGAAATGATCAAGCATAGAGCCAGAAACCTAAATGAAATCATCACGGCACAAGAGAGAGAAAGATCATACAAAGAGACAAAGAAGGAACTAAAAAACTAATCTACAGGTCAAAAAAAGAATGCTGGAGAAGTATTTGCAATAGGCTAGAAGAGGACATCTGGGGTGACGGTTACAAAATTGTCACCAAATTTTGTAATAAACTAACCCCGTATGAGATACGACACTGAAGAGAAGAAAATAATTGTGGAACATCTATTTCCTGTAACAATTCAGACGCAGTGGACAGGTAGAACTACCCCCTCCCTTTTCAGTAGATGAGCCATACGAAGCTGGAGTAAGGCTGAAGCCTGGTAAGTCAAATGCGCAATAAAGTTGGAACCAAATTCGATCCCGGGGATTATGAACGGTCTACTAAGCAAATTATTATCTGAAGCACACAGACCTTTCCCACAAAGCAGAAGAAAGCGAAGTGAGTCTAACTATCCTTCTGCATATCGAAAGAATATAACAATGTCTCAGATTCCCTAAAAAACCTTTCTATTACCTCTTTAAAGAGTCGTCTATTCGTGAATATTTTCAATGACCAATGCAGAAATTTTGGGATTCAGTAATTTAATTTAGTAACTTAGGAATTTTGAAATTCAGGAATTTAGGAATTTAATAATTTAGAATTAAAATATTTTAAAAACATTTAAAACTTAAGAATTTAGAAAATTAGCAATTCAAGAATGTAGAAATTAAGTAATCTATGAGTTTTAAAATATGAAAATTTATAAAATGTTTAATGTATGTACAAATTTAAATTTATAAACAAATTTGGATAGCAAAGCTAAAACCTTTTTATGAAAAACTTAAAAAAAACTGTTTTTCAATCATTATCTTTGTTATCTAAGTTCCCAGGTATCTACGCTCTTAAGTAGGCAATGAATTATTTTTATTTTTTTTTTCCTCTGTACTCAGGCCTTTGAGGAAGAACAGCTTATGCTGATCAAAGGGCCTATTGACCTGATTTCTTGTTAACATAAATGGATATTTATAAGGATATACATGTAAAATGGAATTTGTATTATTTGTTTTCAAAGGTCAATAAAAATTATTATTATTATTATTATTATATAGACCAATATACCTACTTAACACAATGGGCAAGCTCTATACGCAATGGTTAGGCAGCGACTGCTTAAGGAGTTGGAAGACAAAAACGCCTTCTCCGAGAGGCAATTCGGGTTAAGGAAGGGGAAATGCCATCAAATGGGGGATTGACTGGGTTAAACGGAACAGGAAAAAATGGTGCATAATGGTCCTTCTGGATGTCAAAAACACCTTCAACATCGCATCGTGGAGGATAATAATAAACAGAATTAGAAATATACATCGGTAAGGAGGCAAAGATGTAAGTGAGCGGCGGTGTACCACAAAGATCGGTCTTAGTATCAACCCTGTGGAACATTCTGTACGGCCCTGTACTGGGCCTTCGCGAATCCTGCACAACGTTGGCGTTCGCGGACGATCTCTCAATAATGGATGAGGCTGACGGTAAGGAAGAACTCCAAGAGATTGCGGAGCATGCAGTAATGCAAATTGAAATTTCGATGAGGAGACAAGAGCTACAGCTTGCGCCAAAGAAGACGGAAGCTGTTATTTTAAAAGGGAAGAGAAATCGAGACGCAATAGCTCTACAGGTAGGAAATAATGTGGTTAAACCAAGCCAAAGCGTCAAATATCTGGGTATGTGGATAGACGACAACTTATTTTTAACACATACATAAACAAGACCGAAAAAAAGCAGAGAAATCTGTGGAAATACTGACCAGGATAATGCCAAACATGGCGATGCAAAAAGGCGGGTCTTGGACGGGGTGGTACAATCCATCTTGCTTTACGGAGCACCAATATGGGGCAAAGCTACGAGAGTCGAAAAATACAAGAAAAACTCATCAGTATCCAGAGGAAAGCAAACCTGACAATTGTGAGTGGATACAGAACTGTGTCATCCGAAGCCCTCCAGGTACTGGCCGGAGTGCCCCCATAGCTTGTTTCTGAATATAGCGGACCAAAATAGAAGAATAGACATCAGGGAGAAGACACTGGAAAAATGGCAGGTACGATGGGAAAACGGAAGGGAAGTGGCAGCGTGGACTAAGAAGCTCATAGCAAGGATCGACCCGTGGTTGAAGTGCAAGCACAGAAGACAGGGCATGGTAGCTTTAAAACCTTCACCTTTAGAATCGGAAAGTCACTAGACGAGTCCTGCGAATACTGCA